GTACTAACTCTTCTATAAAAGTTTGGTAGAATTCACCTGTGAAACCATCTGGTCTTGCAATTTAACAGAGGAATTTTATATTCATTGAGTCAAATAGTAGAACATTTGGGTTCATATTTTGTAAGTGTTTTATTTTGTGAAAGTAGTAATCTGAGCAGATCAAAGACCAAAAGGTCTGGTCTTTCACCAAAGATAGTTTGGGAAGCACCAGATTTGGTTAAGGATTGGCATGCTTTTCCTGCAGAAGGTCACACATTCTCTATTGCAGCCCTTCAACTATGCTGTCGTAACATCTAAGCAGCCACATGAAATGGATTTTGGACAAAATGAAACCAAATGAGACTATTTATTGCCACTAAAATATAAAATTTATATCATTTTAATGTATCACAAATATTATTCTTCTTTTGATGTTTTTTCAACCAAAAGCCATTCTTTGCTTGCAAGCTGTACAAAAACAGACAGTGGATAGATTTGGCCAGGCTGTTTTCCAATCCCTGGATTAGACTATATTGTCTCTAATAATTGGTGTTTGTCTTAGGGAGAGAAATGTTTGTACATGTTTGATGATGCTAATTTTTAAATGGGAAGTACATTCATACTGCTAAAAAACAAAACAATATGAAAAATTGTATATTGAGAGATCTCTCCCCTCTGTGCCCACCACATTTCCCTCCCTGACGGCACTGCTCTTTATAGGCAAGCATTGAAATTAACTTCTGGTCTTTCGTTTAAATGTTTATGTCAATATTAGCAAACACATATTCATATTCCCACCCTTTCCTACATAAATGTAGCACGCCATTTATATTCCTCCACTCTGCTCTTTTTGCTTGCCACCATATCCTGGAGATTTTCTGTGTGGTAACAGAGGACATGTCCCTCATTAAGCAGGTACATCTATTTGAAGTTGTGCCCTTGTTTATCTAACGCTTCCTATCTGCATGGACACTTGGATGTATTTCCAACCCAATTAAGAACATGTAGCAATGATGAAAGTTGCTCCCAAAGTACTGTGCATGTGCTTATGTACTGTCATAGGGTGCATTTCCTGAACCAGAGCATAACTGCGTATCTAATTGTGATAGATATTGGCAATTTAGTCTCTTTGGGCATTGCGCTCTCCCACCAGCCATCCATGAGAGGTCTGATTCCCCACACAGCCTTGCCAATAGAACATTGTCATACTTTTGGATTTTTATCCATTCTAATAAGTAAAAGTAGACCTGGGTATGGCATAAGCCCTCTTGGAGGAGGTTGCCATTAACCCCACCAAAGAGCTGCCGGAACTTACAGAGGCCTGGGGAACAGACTCTAGGAGGGCACAGACAAAAGCTTCTGCGCACCAGGGCCCAGGAGAAAGGAGCAGTGACCCATAAGAGGCTGACCCGGCCTCGCCTGTGAGTGCCCAGGAGTCTCCGGTGGAGGTGTGGGTTGGCGGTGGCCCGCTGCAGACTTGGGAACATGGAGTGCAGCAGTGCGTGCGTGGGACTTTTTGAAGGAGGTCACCATTATCTTTATTACTTCCATCGTAGTTTAGCCTCAGGTCAAACAACAAGGAGAGAATACAGCCCTGCCCATCAACAGAAAATTGGATTAAAGATTTACTGAGCATGGCCCCACCCATCAGAACAAGACCCTGTTTCCCCCTCAGCCTCTCCCATCAGGAAGCTTCCATGAGCCTCTTACCTTTCTCCGTCAGAGGGCAGGCAGACGGAAAACCACAGTCACAGAAAACTAACCAAACCGATCACACGGACCACAGCCTTGTCTAACTCAATGAAACTATGAGCCATGCCGTGTATGGCCACCAAAGATAGATGGGTCATGGTGGAGAGTTCTGACAAAATGTGGTCCACTGGAGAAGGGAATGGCAAGCCACTTCAGTATTCTTGCCTTGAGAATCCCATGAACAGTTGAAAAGGCAAAAAGATAGGACACTGAAAAATGAACTACCCAGGTTAGTAGGTGCCCAATATGCTACAGGAGCTCAGTGGAGAAATAACTCCAGAAAGAATAAAGAGACAGAGTCAAAGCAAAAACAACACCTAATTGTGGATGTGACTGGTGATGGAAGTAAAATCCGATGCTGTAAAGAGCAATACTGCATAGAAACCTGGAATGTTAGGTCCATGAATCAAGGAAAATTAGAAGTGGTCAAATAGGAGATGGCAAGAGTGAACATCCACACTTTAGGAATCAATGAACTAAAATGGACTGGAATGGGTGAATTTAACTCAGATGACCATTATATCTACTACTGTGGGCAAGAATGCCTTAGAAGAAATGGAATAGCCATCATAGTCAACAAAAGTCTGAAATGCAGTACTTGAATGCAATCTTATAGATGACAGAATGATCTCTGTTCGTTTCCAAGGTAAACCATTCAATATCACAGAAATCCAAGCCTGTGCTCTGACCAGGAATGCTGAAGATGCTGAAGTTGAACGGTTCTATAAAGACCTACAAGACCTTCTAGAACTAACACCGAAAAAAGATGTCCTTTTTTCCTTATAGGGGACTGGAATGCAAAAGTAGGGAGTCAAGAGATACCTGGAGTAATAGGAAAATTTGGCCTTGGAGTACAGAATGAAGCAGGGCAAAGGTTAATAGAGTTTTGCCAAGAGAATGCACTGGTCATAGCAAACACCCTCTTCCAACTATACAAGAGAAGACTCTACACATGGACATCACCAGATAGTCAATACTGAAATCAAATTGATTATATCCTTTGCAGTCAAAGATGGAGAAGCTCTATACAGTCAGCAAAAACAAGACTGGGAGCAGACTGTCGCTCAGATCATGAACTCCTTATTGCCAAATTCAGACTGAAATTGAAGAAAGTGGGGAAAACCACTAAACCATTTATGTATGACCTAAATCAAGTCCCTTACAATTATACAGTGGAAGTGAGAAATAGATTTGAGGGATTAGATCTCATAGAGTGCCCGATGAATATGGATGGAGGTTCATGACATTGTAAAGGAGGCAGGGATTAAGACCATCCCCAAGAAAAACAAGTGCAAAAAAGCAAAATGGTTGTCTGAGGAGGCCTTATAAATGGCTGAGAAAAGAAGAGAAACTAAAGGCAAAGGATAAAAGGAAAGATCCATATGAATGCAGAGTTCCAAAGAATAGCAAGGAGAGATAAGAAAGTTTTCCTTAATGATCAATGCAAAGAAATAGAGGAAAACAATAGAATGGTAAAGACTAGAGATCTCTTCAAGAAAATTAGAGATACCAAGGGAACATTTCATGCAAAGATGGGCATAATAAAGAACAGAAATGATATGGACCTAACAGAAGCAGAAGATATTAAGAGGTGGCAAGAACACACAGAAGAACTATATAAAAAAGATCTTCATGACCCAGATAAACACAATGGTGTGATCACTCACCTAGAGCCAGACATTCTGGAGTGCAAAGTCAAGAGTGCCTTAAGAAGCACCACTATGAACAAAGCTAGTGAAGGTGATGGAATTCCAGTTGAGCTATTTCAAATCCTGAAAGATGATGCTGTGAAAGTGCTGCCCTCAATATGCCAGCAAATTTGGAAAACCCACCAGTGGGCACAGGACTGGAAAATTTCTGTTTTCATTCCAATCCCAAAGAAAGGCAATCCCAAAGAATGCTCAAACTACTGCATAATTGCACTCATCTTGCATGCTAGCAAAGTAATGCTCAAAATTCTCCAAGCCATACTTCAACAGTACTTGAACCTTGAAATTCCAGATGTTCAGATGGATTGAGAAAAGGCAGAGGAACCAGAGATCAAATTGCAAATATCCGCTGGATCATTGAAAAATTAAGAGAGTTCCAAAAAAACATCTACTTCTGCTTTATTGACTATGCCAAAGCCTTTGACTGTGTGGGTCACAACAAACTGTGGAAAATTCTTCAAGAGACGGAAATACCAGACCATTTGACCTGCCTCTTGAGAAACCTATATGCAGGTCAGGAAGCAACAGTTAGAACTGGACATGGAAAAACAGACTGGTTCCAAGTTAGGAAAGGAGTATGTCAAGGCTGTATATTGTACCATGCTTATTTAACTTCTATGCAGAGTACATCATGGGAAATGCCAGGCTGGATGAAACACAAGCTGGAATCAAATTGCTGGGAGAAATATCA